CCCCAAAACCCCAAAACCCCAAAACCCCAAAACCCCACAGAAATATATCGCAATTAAAATAGTTAAGCAATTAATTGAGAGGAGAGTAGATGAAATTATAAAATAATAAATGCAATAAAGTACTCAGTTAATGCAAGCTTAATAAAGTTTAATGGCTATGTAGTTTTATGATGAAAAGACTTCTAAGCTGCAGGAGACACTTCTCAAGCAACTTAAGAAAAACCTTAGACTAATATAGGATTTGCAGTAAGATCCTCATCATCATTAAAGAGGATTCAGTGCATCTTTAAATGTAACTGGGTCAATGAGGAGATCCTAAAAAGATGATTCTGAAAAAGTAAAAAAAGATGTGCTAAAAGTAGAGAGGAAGGAAATAGCAGTTATAAACAGAGAAAAACATATAGGCGAAAAGATAAAGTTCTACAGGAATAAGCAGCTAGGATAGTTCTGCATGCCAAGACTAGAAGAAAGTCAGGGATTTTTTTCTGCTGAAAAACTGAAGGAAAAGGGCATAAACCCAGAGGAGCTGCAAATGCTCTAAAAATTGACTTAGGCCTCGCTTCATTTCATGCCCTCTCAAAATCCTACTGAGAAAAAGCTATATAAAAATCTCAGCTAGAGCTTAAATGACTACAGAAGCTTTGTTGGAAATAAAACATTTAGTAATCATTAGGGATCAAGTTCTCCATTGAATAACTTAGATTATGCCTCGGATTCTTAGAAACCTTTGAAGAGTTAGAAGTAACATAGAATATAAGACCTCAAAAAAAATAACTTACTTCACTTTGAAAAATCAAACATCGAGAATTAGATTAAGTAGTAGATTTTTCAGTCATCAATGTATGGAAGCCCGACTGGTTAACCGATGTTCAACTATTCGAAGAATTACTTTGGGAGTAGTGGTTTTGAGTTTAATAGAGATAAACTCTTAAAAGAATCAAATGGTGATGCCTAGAACGCATAAAAGTTGGCGAAGTATTACAGAAAGTTGATGAGTATAAATTAGAAAAATATGAAGCATGTATTTAGCGATTACTTACAGCAGGTTTAAACCAATGAAATTGATCACTAGTTGAAATCACTGTCTAGGTCGCCTAAAATGAATGCTAACCTGACTTAAAGTCTGAATCTGAAACCAATAAATATTCCACTGGCCAAATAATTCTCCTCATTTTCCAGTCCAATGAGTCCCACTGTCTCCGCACCCACTGGGGAATAGAAACACTTTGGATTTGAGAAAAGCACTATGCTAGAGCAAATCACTCACTAAAAAGATCGAATGAGTAGCAGCACCTATGATATGTTCAGTCATTCTAAGCAAATCGACACTCTGAAATAGAGAAATCGGCTTAGAAGTCTCTTTGAGTATCATTAGTAAAAAAATAACAGAGATGTCCTCAACAAATTCCTTAGAAGATGTGATTGGGAATAAAAGCCAAATAGAATGCAATTATTCAGAAGGCAGTTACAATAGTCTTCAACAAATTATGAAAGCTAAATGAAGGTTTTGACTGCCAAGAAGCATCAGAAAATGTCCTACAAAAATGCAGAGCAGTAGTTTTAGCTATTAGACACCAACGAATCCTAGTCCCCCTGATAAAACTAGACTAATCACAACATGCCTATTAAAGTCATCATTTTTCAAATCATGATACAAGTTCAACTTTTGTTTGCTAGCGACACGATAATCTATTTATTTTCTCGCAATCATTGTAAATTTCAGTTTATGGGGTTTTGGGGTTTTGGGGTTTTGGGG